AAAATACAAAAAAAATAAAAAATAAAAAATCTGGTTTTTTTTTTTTTGCGTTTGTGTGTCCTAAAATTAATTTTAGTGTATTTTTTACTGAAATTTTGCATTTCCCAGTCCTTTGCGGGAATATTGTGCGACATAAAAAAATAAAATAAAATGGCACTACCGCTATTTTATTCTCTAGAGTGTCTGCTTTCCAAAAAAAAAAAAATTCTGGGGGTTATGTAATCTTCAAGCCTAAAATGATTTATTAAAATGGTTTGCAAAAAAACAAAAATTAAAAAAAAAACATAAAAAAATTAAAAAAAATAAAACAAAAAAAATCAGTTTTTTTTTGTGTTTTTGTGTGTCCTAAAATTATCTTTAGTGTATTATTTACTGAAATTTTGCATTTCCTAGACCTTTGCAGGAAATCGTGCGACATAAAAAAAAATGCACTACCGCTATTTTATTCTCTAGGATGTCTGTTTTCCATTTAAAAAAAAAAATCTGTGGGGGTTATGTAATCTTCAAAAAATGATTTATTATAATGGTTTGCAAAAAAAAAAAAAAAAACAACAAAAAAAAAAAAAAAAAATACAAAAAAAAAAAAATTTTTTTTTTGTGTTTGTGTGTCCTAAAATTAACTGTAGCGTATATTTTATTGACATTTTGCGTTTCCTAGACTTTGCGGGAATATCGTGTGACATAAAAAAAAAAAATGGCGCTACCGCTATTTTATTCTCTAGGATGTCTGCTTTCCAAAAAAAAAATTCTAGGGGGTTATGTAATCTTCAAGCCTAAAATGATTTATTAAAATGGTTTGCAAAAAAAAAAATAAAAAAATAAAAAAAATAAAAAAAAAACGTAATAAAAAATTTTTTTTTTTTTTGCGTTTGTGTGTCCTAAAATTAACTTTAGTATATTCTTTACTAAAATTTTGCATTTCCCAGACCTTTGCGGTAATATTGTGCAACATAAAAAAATAAATAAAATGGCACTACCGCTATTTTATTCTCTATGATGTCTGCTTTCTGAAAATAAAAAAAAATAAAAAAAATTCTGGGGAGGGGGGGTTATGTAATCTTCAAGCCTAAAATGATTTATTAAAATGGTTTGCAAAAAAAACAAAAAAAAAAAAAACAAAAAAAACCCCCAAAAAACAAAAAAAAAAAAACAAAAAAAAAATCTGGGTTTTTTTTTGTGTTTGTGTATCCTAAAATTGACTGTAGTGTATTTTTTACTGAAATTTTGCGTTTCTCAGACCTTTGCGGTAATATTGTGCGACAAAAAAAAAATGGCACTACCGCTATTTTATTCTCTAGAATATCTGCTTTCCATCAAAAAAAAAAAAACTATTTCTGGGGGGTTATGTAATTTTTAAGCCTAAAATGATTTATTAAAATGGTCTGCAAAAAAAAAAAAAAAAAAACCCCCAAAAAAATAAAAAAAAAAAACAAAAAAAATCAGGTTTTTTTGGGGGTTTTCGTGCCCTGTAATCTTCAAGCATAAAATGATTTATTAAAACGGTTTGCAAAAAAAAAAAAACAAAAAAAAACAAAAAAAGAAAACCAAAAAAAAATAAAAAAAAAAATAAAAAAAAAAAATCTGGGTTTTTTTTGCGTTTGTGTGTCCTAAAATTAATTTTAGTGTATTTTTTACTGAAATTTTGCATTTCCCAGTCCTTTGCAAAAATATTGTGCGACATAAAAAAATAAATAAAATGGCACTACCGCTATTTTTTCTCTAGAGTGTCTGCTTTCCAAAAAAAAAAAAATTCTGGGGGGGTTATGTAATCTTCAAGCCTAAAATGATTTATTAAAATGGTTTGCAAAAAAAAAAAAAAAAAATAAAAAAAAAAAAAAAAAAAAAAAAAAAAAAAAATCGGGTTTTTTTTTTTTGCGTTTGTGTGTCCTAAAATTAATTTTAGTATATTCTTTAAAAAAATTTTGCGTTTCTCAGACCTTTGGGGGTAATATTGTGCAACATAAAAAAAATAAATAAAATGGCACTACCGCTATTTTATTCTCTATGATGTCTGCTTTCTAAAAATAAAAAAAAAATAAAAAAAATTCTGGGGAGGGGGGGTTATGTAATCTTCAAGCCTAAAATGATTTATTAAAATGGTTTGCAAAAAAAAAAAAAAAAAAAAAACAAAAAAAAAACCCCCAAAAATACAAAAAAACAAAAAAAAAAAAATCTGGGGTTTTTTTTGTGTTTGTGTGTCCTAAAATTAACTTTAGTGTATTTTTTACTGAAATTTTGCGTTTCTCAGACCTTTGCGGTAATATTGTGCGACTTAAAAAAATAAAAAAAAAATGGCACAACACCGCTATTTTATTCTCTAGAATGTCTGCTTTCCATAAAAAAAAAAAATTTCTGGGGGTTATGTAATTTCAAGCCTAAAATGATTTATTAAAATGGTTTGCAAAAAAACAAAAAAAAAAACCAAAAAAAAAAAAAAAAATAAAACAAAAAAAATTTTTTTTTTTTGTGTTTGTGTGTCCTAAAATTAACTTTAGTGTAT